ACTTTACGTGGAGATGGTATGTAATCTGAGCAATCAACAGGTCGTAATCCCTGATACAGCTTGGATTAACATACAGGTGCTGGTCATAAAATTAGAATATCATGAAAAAGTAGATTGATTTCAGTAATTCCATTTAAAAAGTGAAACTTGTATATTATATTCATACATTACATACAAACTCATATATTTCAGATGTTTATTTTGTTTAATTTTGATGATTACAAATGACAACAAATGAAAATCTCAAATTCATCATATCAGAAAATTAGAATATTGTGAAAAGGTTCAAAATTGATGGCCCCTGGTGCCACACTCTAATCAGCTAATTAACTCAAACCACCTGCAAAAGCCTTTAAATGGTCTTTCAGTCTAGTTCTATAGGCTACACAATCATGGGGAAGACTGCTGACTTGACAGTTGTCCAAAAGACGACCATCGACACCTTGCACAAGGAGGGAAAGACACAAAAGGTCATCGCTAAAGAGGCTGGCTGTTCACAGAGCTCAGTGTCCAAGCACATTAATAGAGAGGCGAAGGGGAGGAAAAGATGTGGTCGAAAAAAGTGTACAAGCAAGAGAGATAACCGCACCCTGGAGAGGATTGTGAAACAAAACCCCTTCAAAAATGTGGGGGAGATTCACAAAGAGTGGACTGCAGCTGGAGTGAGTGCTTCAAGAACCACCACACACAGACGTATGAAAGACATGGGTTTCTGCTGTCGCATTCCTTGTGTCAAGCCACTCTTGAACCACAGACAGCGTCAGAAGCGTCTTGCCTGGGCTAAAGAGAAACAGGACTGGACTGCTGGTGAGTGGTCCAAAGTCATGTTCTCTGATGAAAGTAAATTTTGCATTTCCTTTGGAAATCAAGGTCCCAGAGTCTGGAGGAAAAGAAGAGAGGCACTTCATCCAAGTTGCTTGAAGTCCAGTGTAAAGTTTCCACAGTCAGTGATGGTTTGGGGTGCCATGTCATCTGCTGGTGTTGGTCCATTGTGTTTTCTGAGGTCCAGGGTCAACGCAGCCACATACCAGGAAGTTTTAGAGCACTTCATGCTTCCTGCAGCTGACCAACTTTTTGGAGATGCAGATTTCATTTTCCAACAGGACTTGGCACCTGCACACAGTGCCAAAGCTACCAGTACCTGGTTGAAGGACCATGGTATCCCTGTTCTTAATTGGCCAGCAAACTCTCCTGACCTAAACCCCATAGAAAATCTATGGGGTATTGTGAAGAAGAAGATGCAATACCCCAGACCCAACAATTCAGAAGAGCTAAAAGCCACTATTAGAGCAACCTGGGCTATCATAACACCTGAGCAGTGCCACAGACTGATCGACTCCATGCCACGCCGCATTGCTGCAGTAATACAGGCCAAAGGAGGCCCAACTAAATACTGAGTGCTGTACATGCTCATACTTTTCATGTTCATACTTTTCAGTTGGCCAACATTTCTATAAATCCTTTGTTTTTATTGGTCTTCAGTAATATTCTAATTTTCTGATATGATGAATTTGAGATTTTCATTTGTTGTCATTTGTAATCATCAAAATTAAACAAAATAAACATCTGAAATATATGAGTTTGTATGTAATGTATGAATATAATATACAAGTTTCACTTTTTAAATGGAATTACTGAAATCAATCTATTTTTTCATGATATTCTAATTTTATGACCAGCACCTGTAAGTCACATTCTTACCTTGCTTTCTCAAAGCGTAGTTTTTGTAATTGTGGTTAAAGGGTTTAGTCTTTGTCTCATCCAACCTTAAAGCTTTTTTCCTGAAGACGTTTGGATTCTCAGCATCTTAAACTAAAGATTAAAATAATCTTAAAGGTTTCAGTTTTGGAAAAAACTCTTCTTTTTTAGTTGGCAGTTCAGATTGTTGTAACATTCACTTTACTCTGAACATACTGATGTCCCTGCATCTTCCAGGGTGAAATTGACTTTTCTATAATGATTAAATGCAAAATTGCAAACCTTGCTTATTCTTCAGGTTCCTTAAATAGAGGTATAGGCTTAGACTGTTTTTAACAGATTTTCTTTTAGTTTGATTTTTGTTTGATTTTTGCATTCACAATCCCAAAAACTTGATCTTATTTATTCTTTTATCCTGTATGAACAGGAGAAAATATTTTCAATAGAGTTTTCAATATTTGATCGGCCAATCACAGATCAGAGTAAATTAAGATAAACATTTCATTAACTCTTCATGTGACCTGTATTATTTTCCTGGTAGTTTTCTTATTGGTATCGATGGACATTAGAAAAACAACCCTGATATATATGTTTTGGGAAACAAAAATTATCCTTATTATTGTTTATTGTTTTGCAGTTAAATCATTTTCACTTTCTGCCAATGAATGAACTCTGCTCTCGTTTGGTGCTGTCTTGACCCAGTCTGCTTAAACTGTTAATCTGCATGTAGGCTTTTTAAAAAAAAAGGAACTTTTCCACACTTTTTAATCAATTCATTTATCATGTGACTGTGTTCCCCCCTCAGGGAGTGGATCTCTCAAAGCTGATGGATGCCGGTGCATTTATCTGCCGAACCCTCAACAGGAAGACCAGCTCTAAGGTGGCGCAGGCCACATGCAAACTATAGAGAATAAAAAAATGGACCTTTTTCCACAAGCTAAAGTTCATATGATCCTCCGTTTGTTAAATTAAACATTATTAATACACAGTTTGATTTAACGTCTCCTGTAGGTTTTTGTTTAACACTAAACTTCACTGAGCTTGGTTGTTCTGCGCTGTGATAAAGCTAAGATATTAGTGCCTTTGTACAAAATCTGTGTTTTAAGCTTTCACCTATGATCAGATGTGTTTTCATGTTATGCTTCTGTTACTTCATGGTCAGTATATGAAGATTGAGGATTTGACTTTTTCTTAATACATGATGAAAGAAACAGTCTAGAATAACTGTCAGAACAGATAGTATTTGATGAAGAAGTCTGAGTGGAAACAGTCATGTCTGAAGTTTGGGGCATGTAATCGTTCTTTTTTTTTTTTTTTTTTTGTGTTTTAGCTTATTTATTTGAATTATCTTAATTAAAAGTAAATTTATATTGATATAAATGTTGTAAGTTTTATGAATGGAAGATGAAGATGACATGCACTAACCAAGGTCCCCAAGGGCCTGTTGGCATTTGAAGGTTTTCCTCACATTCATCTAATTCTTTTTCTGTTGTATCTACCGGTAATTGTTAATTATAAAGAGCAACACACATTTCCTGCTTTTAAATAAATGTTGTCTTTTACACTTTGTAGATTCTCCAAAAGAAAAAAAATTCCATTAATCTAAACAAGATAATTAGAATTTTACGCCAATTTAAATGAATACCTTTAGATTTGAATTTTCACTCCACAGGTTTAGTTCTTCCCTTCCTTACATATAAAAGCATATTTAACAAAAATTGTGGCTGGTGAAAGCTGTAAGTTTAACTTCAGGTTCCTCCCCTGCTGCTGCAAAGTTCAGGCATGCCCAAAGTCAGTCCTTGACCGCTGCTGTCCTTCAGGTTTTAGAGGTTTCTCTGCTTTAGCACAGCTGATTCTGATGATTGCAGTTCAGCAAAAGCCTGTTAATAGGAATAGGAATACCTGCAGGACAGCGGCCCTCAAGCGCCAACTATGGGCATGCATTGGAATGAATGCAACTCTACAGTTAAAACAATGAAGGGTTTCTGTCGCCTGAGGAGTCATTGCACAACTTTTACTTTTTTTTTTGTCACGTAAATCCTTTTAATTCTCTAAATGTTTCTTACATGCATGATGCCGCAATGACTTCAATGTCACAAAATGAAGGTGTTTCTGATCTCAAACTTCGATTCAGAATAAGTAATAAAAAAAAACGTTTTAGATCCTAACAAAACTCACCTTTATCAAAATTAAAAATGTTACATAGTTCGGCTTTAGGAATACATTAAATCCACTTTGGTAAAAGTTTGATTAACTTAAAGGAAGCTTAAAAAAATAAGACTTTGTAAAAAGTAAATTTTACTTCAGTTAAAAAGTAAAATAGAGATTTTTTTTTTTTTAAGATAACGAAGGTGATCTTGGGTTTTTATTTTATCTCTTCATAAAAATTGAAATTATGGCAGGAGGGATTATAAAACATTCTTCCTAAACGTTGGATTTTTTTTCCCCCAGCTTGTGAAAGCAAATTAACTTAACCCTGTAATGCCAAATGTATCATATTTGATACATACGGTTTCTGAAATGTTTTGCGTCTGACACCTTTTGCATAATTTAATGGTAAAAACTTTGCTCAAAATCCTATTGTACACAATCAGATATACCTGATAACAGAGGGCAGAAGACTACACAAAAAATAATCTTGACTTATCCCATAGTAAGAAATTATTAACATCAAAAATGTATTTCTGTTTTTTCTTTTTACATATTTTGTTAAAAGGCCAAATAAGGACTTAAAAAAAAAAAAAAAAAGTAATTTTCTGTTTTGTTTTATTCTTGGATCGGGCTTTAAAGGGTTAAGGTGTTTCATAATTTGCCAGGGTGAGCTTATGCATCTGTTTAAAAACAAAAAAACTATCTCCCGCTTTATAGGGGCACCAATAACAGCAGATGGTATTATGTGCTCATGCTTGTAAGGAAATCATAGTGGGAAAAATATGTTGAGGGACTATTGTGAGCAGCTTTATTATCTCTATGGAAAGTTTTCCATTTCAAGAAGACATCTTAAAAAGTTCAGTTGATGTTTCAACTGCTTCAAAACCTGATTGTCGAGTCCAATAGGTTCTTGCAACACCTGTCGAAGTGCATAACAGCTGTTAAAAAACAATGTAGAATGGCTCATAATAGATCACAGCGAACTGAATGTTTGGCTCTGATACTGTTGGGGATGTCAGGATTCATCATAAAACATGAGCAGCTCCTTAAATTAATATTATGCAGCTCTGGGAGAACCAAAATGTTTTCTTATATTTTCTCTTCTTGTATTTAACAATGAATCTTAAATCAAACACAGCAAAGACACATTCTTTTCATGTATTTCCAATTTTATAGAAAATGAGAAATATCAACAGCTGCAGTGATAGATTTCCACATGTCGTCCCGGTTGGACCGTTACGGTTCCACGAGTTGCATCCAGGTCTGTCCAGTTTTAGTCCCAAAGTGATTCAGTACAACCCACAGAATTAAACAGCAACATTCCTTTGGATTGATTTCAACCAACAGAAGTCTTGGATCAGAGAACATTGTGTACAAGCATGTCAAAACACAAGGAGTCTAAGCGACACAACCTGAGAGACAGCAAGAAGATAAATTACAAACAAAAAAATGATGCACCTTGTTTGAGTGTTTGATTTTTTACTGTAGAGAAAAAGAAGAACTAATCTCTGGACACTTTCAGATACTTTATATAGGAGCTCTGAGGCAGCAACACTTATGAGGTTTAGTTTTCCACTTTTTAAATGAAGTTTGGAAACTAAATCTATAACTTGACTGTAAACTGAATTTACAAAAATATATATTCTTAATGGATAAATAAACCCTTTATTATCCTGCTCCAACACACCATTGGAGATACCAGCAGGTCTGGGGAGTATCTCTACCAGGTGTGTCTGCTCTTTTTGTGACGCATTCCTGCGCCCTATATTAGAATTCAGATCAGAAGAACAGCTTCACTGCTTATTTTATGTTTTTTTTTTTAAGTATGTCAGTAGAAATGATACTCAGATATTTACTGTATCCGAAAAGGACGACCACATACCAAAAATCAAACTTAAATTTTACAGCTGACTTGTAAATATTGTGGAGGTTGACTTGGAAACCAAAGTTCAAAAGTTTCCATGAGAGATTTAGATGTGCACACAATATCACAATGAATCCAGTACCGATGACTCAGCTTCCAGGCTGTGAGACATTCTGCAGTTTGACTCACAGGTCTGAGTCTTTTTGAAGTTTGTGGACCTGCAATCAAGACACTTTCCCGAGTCATTCCCAGCTCCTGTGCTTTCATCTTGACTTTAGTCGTGATCATGTAAGGGACAAGTTTGGAGCAGAGGCCCGTATTTTTGGATCTGTCCTGAGTGCCTGTACGCGGTACGGCTGCTGGCAGACATTCCTGAAGGACGGAGGTTTGTCCTCCAGATTGTTTTTAGGTACGGCCCTGTTGTAATTGTTAAAGTTGTCGTCCGTGTAGTCTTCATGAAGTACCGCCAGGTGGCGATTGCGCCTTTTCATCTTGTTTGCGATCCGTGCGATTCTCTTGGCGATGAGATAGATGATCTCACATATGTTCAGGATGATGCAGAGGGCGGAGGCCCCTACCATGAAGTAGGTGAAGACCTTCTTCTCTGTGGGGTGACCGATGTAGCAGTCCACCACGTTGGGACAGGGCACCACTTTGCACTTGACCAGCCTTGGCAGGTAGAAGCTGTCATAGATGTGGTGCAGGATGTAGAGGAAGGCGATCTCGATGGTTGTTTTGGCAAAAAGGCTGATCAGATAGGTCCACCACAGCCCGCCATGTTTCTTGCCAGTGTTTCCATACAGCTTGCAGTCTTCTCCAAATTTGGCCCTGTGTTTTCGCTCTCGGTCATCACGGTACGCCACATGCATGACCACCATGAAGGAAGGGCAGGAGATGAAGATGAGCTGCAGGGCCCAGAGGCGGATGTGGGAAATGGGGAAGAAGTGATCGTAGCAGACGTTGGCACAGCCAGGCTGCTTGGTGTTGCAGTCAAAGTCCTTTTGGTCGTCGCCCCAAACACGCTCAGCTGCCACCACGTACACCATCACCCTGAACACGAACACCACAGACAGCCATATCCGTCCAAACGCAGTGGAGTACTTGTTCACTCCGCTGAGGAGGGCTTGGAAGGTCTTCCAGTCCATGCTGCTGATTAGAAATCAAATATCTTTTGATGTTGAATCTTCTCTTGATGGTTACAGTTTTTCCTCAGACCTGGAAAGGAAAAATTACAACAAAAAAAGTGACCATGTGTCTGGAGTCAGTGGAGATTTCACATTTAAATCTTTCAAATGGGGTGAAAATATATCAATAAGTCATAATTAAAACATTTACAGAAAACATAAACATCTCTAACTACTGTTGTGTTAATCGGATTAAAACAGACTGTTTCTAAAATCACAGTCATGTGAAGGCCTGTGACCTAACAGCTAACAAAGGGAAACGAGTTAAACCAACTTTTTTAACACACCCACAAACTGTTTGTTCACTGCTTAGTCCTCATTCTTTTAGACATTTTACACAAAGCTTTCACAATAAGACCAAAACATGCAACTCTTCTTTTCTTAATCATTTTAAAGTTGAAAAACACTATTATCGAATCATGAAACAATGTGAAAAAGAAAAAATGGACATTTGAAGAAGTCGCTTTTACGCACAAATGTTCCGCGTTATGGTGACATACTTTATAAGGACGGATCGTTCTGAAACATTAGTTTTATTTTCTTTATCATAAATAATCCCTCTCATCTCCTTACAGCTGGTTAATTTCGACCTAAGAACCCCAAGATTTCATCTCTCAAGCTGAAACGCAAACTGGAACATTACCAAACCCCCATTTTAAAGCAGCAAAGACATGTCTTACTTACTTTCAGATATTTTAATCCATATTTTATCAACAGGGTCAGCAGTTTATTTATTCCGCTTTTATTCCCTCTTACTTCCAATTCGTTTCGATCTCTTGGCGCACAGATTTGGCTCCCGTGGACAGGTAAAGGAGCGCAGAGCGCAGAAATGTTCCCGTGGGTGTGGTTAAGGAGAAAGACTTGTGCTACCCCAGATGTTCCTCTCCTCCCTCCCTCTCTGAAAGAGCCTCCTCCTCACCACCCTCAAAGAAAAACGCAACTTCATATGTTCCTTTTTATAATATTGTTTTATTATAAAAAATACAATCTGCATCATTATTTACTTTTAGCATCAGGTTTACCTGAGGAGCATGTGTGGTTTTCTTAGACAACTTTTGTATGCTGTAGGGTATACAAAACGATATTTCGTTTAGTACAGCTTTTCGGACAGTAAACTGGTAAAATTGTTTCCTAGAATTTCTAAAAGTAGAATAAGAGGCAGATATTTTAGTTATCAGGCTCCTCTCCTGTGGAATCAACAACCAGTTTTAGTCCATGAGGCAGACACTCTATTTTAAGGCTAGTTTTAAAACTTTCCTTTTTGATAAAGCTTATAGTTAGAGAGGGTCAGGTTATCCTGAGCTATCTCTATAGTTATGCTGCTATGCTTAGACTTCTGGAGGACATAGGGACCCCTTTTTCATCATTCTGTTTCATTCTATCTCTATTCTCCCACTCTGCAAAATCTGTTAGTTCAATCTCTAACTTTATGCTCTTTTCTTTTTCTCATAGTATCTTTGCCTCGTATTTTCCTGTTTGGCTGTGACTCCATCCTGGAGAGAAATATCAGCTTTGCTGCTGCTTTCATAACCTTTGTTTATAGATGTTCGAGATCGGCCAGTTTTTCAGTGTAGTCCTGCTTCTCTGACTTTGACTGGCTGGATGTGCTCTCTTCTGCCTGGCTGTGTGTTTCCTGGATGGGGCCGCCTTCTGCAGTTGCTTTTTATATCTCTGCTTCTGTCTCCTTGAACCCCAGTCGGCCTCAGCAGATGGCCACTCACTGGTTCCTGGTTCTGCTAGAGGTTTCTTCCTGTTAAAACTGAGTTTTTCCTCTCCACTGTCACTAGTCACTAGTCGAGTCAATGAGTCGATGCAATCAACTGGTTTTTCTTAGATAGAAAACTTTTAATCAATTTGTATGATCCGGTGAACTGTAACGTGCCTTGAGATGACATGTGTTGTGAGTTGGTGCTGAATCAATAAACTGAATTGAATTGAATTAAATTAACATTTCCATTCCATAAAGTGCAGCAGTGATCAAATGTAAACAGTGTGGGAGAAAAAAAACACGGTACAAAAAAAACACATTGATATGGAAGTTCAGAGCATCAAATATATATGGTGCAAATATGCAGTATTTTTGGTTCTCAGTGTGATGCAGAGTTTGTGGCATGATTAAGTGACATGATGTTGCGGAGATAGAAATGACCAGAAGTCCAAATAAACTTTTTTTAAATATATTAATGCATTTTGGATTTTTAACTCAGATGACAAATCCCATAAAGTTAGTATTCCTTTTTATTCAATTACTAGAAGGTTTGATCAAAGGGCATTTCAGTAACAGGACATTCAGAGCTTTACATGCAAAAGAAAGCATTCAACTGCATAATCAATGCGCGTAATTGGCAGTAGGAAAAAAACCTCATGCAACATAAAAAGGCAAAGAAAATAAACTATAAAAACTGCACATTAGAAAAACAATAAGATAATAGAATAGAATAGAATAGGAAATCCCTTTATTGTCCCACAATGGGGAAATTCTGTTTTTTACAGCAGCAAAAAGATTATAGAAAAATGGTCACACAAATATGGACCTTAGAAAAATGTATAAGAATAACATAATAGTGAAGAGTTAAAAGATAAACAATAATATATTTTAACAATATATAACCGTGCTCCTGTGCAACTGTGGAGAATAAATAACCAATATACAGCTATGGACATTTCTACAGTAATGGATATTTGAAAATAGCAGCAACATTAGAGATTTGCAAAATTACAGCATCATGTTATTTAAAGCTACAGTGTGTAATTTTTAGCGACATCTAACGTCCAGACTGCAGACCGCAGCAACATGAACATCTCCCCCCCACCGCTTCTCCCCCCCAACAGTACGGCGGGCGTTACGGGACAAAATGTCTTCCACGACGTCCGCATCACCTACCTTCTCAAGTGATGAGGTTTGTTTACATAGATAAATTTACAGATAGTATTCTCAGGCATAATACTGCCATCTATTGTTCAGTACCGTCTCAGTTCATCTGTCTCAACTTGCCGTAGTTACTTTCGCGATCTCGCAATCGCTAGTTTGTTGGCTCTGCGCTGCCGTAGTGCAAAGATGTCTGCCTCCATGGCTGCGAGACCCGCTCCTATGTAATTATAAATAACGAATTCTAAGGCAGCGCAAATATTAAGGTTAAGAGGCTGAGCTCGTAGATGATGATAAATAACATAGTTATGTATAATATATAACATTTCTGACTGTATATCCCTGTAATTATTACACACTGTAGCTTTAACTAACTAAGATAAACCCAAGAATAAAAAAACTCGTTTTTAAAGAAGTTATAAAAGTGAAAGTAAAGGTGCAGGTCTAGGGAGATCATTCCAGAACAGTTCAAATGACACATCAAATAGGGTTTAATCTTGATTTATCAACCTTTAGGTCTTCAGCATGTTTGCACTTTTCTTGGAGTTTGTTCCAAATAATGAAGCATAAGAAATTAAAGCTGCCTCTCATTGTTTGGCTCAAGGGATGTAGGGTCGATTTAAACCAAAAGACCTGAGAAGTCCTCAGGTTATTTCTCCCTTTTCACCATTAAACGTAGGAGATACAAACATCTTAGTAAAAATGGAAGACAAGATGAAGCAGAGTCACAATTCCCAATGAGAGAGAAAGTTTCCTATGTCTTCTTTGTTTTATGAAGTTATATAAACTAGAACATTGCTGAGAAGTTAATTCATTTCACTAACTCGAATCACCAATCATCAAGTGCAACATTTCATAGATTAATTACACACACACACTGATGTTTTGTGCCCCTTCATAGCCGTTAAATAGAATTATTTTCTTAATATTAAGAAAAACATGAGTTATAAGAATATATAAATAAAAACTGATACAGAAATGTATGTGAAATAATAAGTATGTTTTAAAGCAGTTTTTTTATATTCTGTTAATTAAAAAAATGGGCATAATCAAAACAAACATTTGGTTTGATGGTTATTGACATGATCTGTATGTTTTATTCATTACTGTTTGAACTTACGAAACAGGTTCTATTTGTAAGAAGGGAAAATAAAATATAAATTGACACTTAACGTTTTATCTGACTTTCACATTTGGATGTAAGCAAGATTTCAAGCTGTTTCTGTTTCTGTTATCTAAAAGCCGTCACTCAGAATAATGGTTTGACGGTTTAGATTTCCAGGAACAGGATAGCCTTAGCCTATGTGTCCCAACATTCTTGATCGACTATGCACGCAAAGGGAGGACATGCTTTACCGTGCAGACATATTTTGCTTCTTTTGTTGTGACTTTTTGTTGACATGAGACATGTTTTAAACGGGAAGACGCTGTTATTTGAGGCACAGGATGTGCTCTGGGATTACTAATGTAATTTTAAAAAAAACTTTTTACATCCTCTTTTACAGAAAGGGAGCTCTTTATTTAAGGATACTCTTTTAGAAAAGCATATTGTGCGTGTTGAAGCCTTAATCTGCTCAGATAACAGTCTCACAGTTCACCTTCTCCCATGGGGTCTCAGTATTGTTCTTCTAAAATTATGTAAGGTGGAGCTTTTGTATCTTTTCTTCAGTGTGCTTGCTAAAAGGCTTGGGCTGGCGCATGCCCCGACTTGCAAACTTTTTCTATTCAGAAACAATGAAATCCTGTGTTTACATTTTAAAGATAAAAAAAAATCCCCCAGAGTATTTAGTTTGACTCCTAAGTCTATTAAAGTTTGAGTAAATCAACTAAAAAGTTTGACACTCATAAGAATAAAGGCTGCAGATTTAGTTCTTGGTGTTTTAGAAAAAGTTCTCAGTAATCAAAAGGAACAAACCGAGGTGTGGCACAAGACTGTGTAATCAACATGTTTTTTGTTTTGTTTTTCTGAAACAATTAACTCATGTATTAGAAATGATGAACAAATCGCTATTATGTTCTTCCAAATCCTGCAAATGTTGTTCATTTCAGCTGCTGTTGTGCTTTTCAGGAAACTCAGGTTTTCCACAGATTTTTACTGGGCAAGTTCAACATCTGCTTTTCCAACATTACAGTGGGCAAGACTTCCATCCAGACACAGAGGGGGATGGGTGAAAACGATTCTTCTAGGCCACATACAAAGAACTGGTTCTGACAGTCTGGATACGACACGCCCAAAGGAATGCAAAGTGTGACTCATCCACTGCCAGGGAGAAGTAAACAAAATAGACCTGCAAAACAAGCAAAAACGAACAACTTTCAACCAATGGCTCAGTAAGAGGAAGGAAGCTTAAAAAAATGATGTGAGAAGAACTTTCCATTAGGGAAGTTCGCACTGACTAAGAGGGCAGGATTGTTTAGAGACGCAAACTCTGACTGAAGAACCTGAAAACTGAATCACAGTAAGAACATAAGCCAGTCCTACAGAGTACTTCAGAACTTGCTAAAGTCCTAAATAAGAAAAAAAATATATAGATATGGGATTAAAGTCATTTTAAATTCAGCTTATTGGTGCATAAATATGGGTTATATGTTAGGGGATTAGATTAAAGATACTTTATGTGTTGGTTGTACAGAAAATGTGCAAAAAAAGAGAGAAAAATCATATGGGTTGCATATTTGAAATAATAAAATGGAAACTGTAGCTCAAATAATGACCTCCAAAGCAAAGGTCAGGTGTCTGTCTGCAGCAGGGTACACCTTAAATAGGCTGCTTGGAAAGCATCATAAATGTAAACAAGACCTGAAGCCATTCACATACAAACCTATAATAGGATATTTTCTACCCTGGTCAATGCATTTAATATGCAATGACATCAGGAGGAAACCAGAGTACCAAGTTGCAAAAGATAAGAGAAGATAGACTTTACTGATCTCACAGTGGAGAAATTCCCTTGTCACATCATCTTAAAAGTCAAAAAGAGGGT